AAACGTAGGAAAATGTAAAATACGATGGCGAAGAAGAAGATTCCAGTGGCCCCAATTTGTGTCCATTCTGGACAAGTGAAAAATGTAAAGTAAATTGCCAAACTCACTTGTCCATGGACAAGTACTCTCTAAAAACTTTTTCTCACACTGAGTATAGGGTAAAACATTGAATTGCCAAACTTAATTATATATACTGATATCAGTGAAATATCATATGTTCATACAATGCAATTTGTTTTTAAATAAGTGTCTGCCGTTTTATTTATTCCTACAATCTAATTCCTTTTGCCTCTGTAGGTGACTTAATGTCATATTTCAAATCACCATGCATACAACTGTAATAAATGTCTCCTGTGATCATTTAACCACCAGTCCACTGCAGTTCCTCCATCCCCCCCCTCCCTCTGTCACCTTGGCTGCCTTGATAATTGCCTTCCAAAAGCAATCTACCCCCCATCCCTCTCCTCCACCCCCTCCTCGTCTGCCCCGTTTAGCGCAGACTCTATCACACAGAGTGCTTACAGTACAATAAAAAGCCCATCTCTCTGTGAAGGTCGATGACCCCGCCTCTGCCGGACACACACGCACGAGCATACAGGCAGCTATTTAAACAGTGGTGTAACACAGACTATACAGCACCACCTGCAGTCTTACTGTAGTGAAGAATACTGTTAACAAGGGCAGTGGTGGAGCCAAGCAAGGACACGATCTAGGCCCCCTTTTTTTTCCTCTTCTTTGACCATCTTTGACACGCATGTACACACACCTGCTCCCCCTACTGTGTCTTACTGTTACCTCTCCACGAACACACTTCCACCATCTGTCTATGTCTTGTTTATGGCCATCATATGCGTGTAAAGGCAGTCATTTAACTTGTGTCCCTGATCTCGTCCCACAAGGTCCCGAGGACAAGTGCGTGATTGAGGACAACGACTGCACGTTTGTCAGCGACTTCAGCAAGATCCAGCTCGAGAGCAACACAGAAACACTGGGTGAGCAGGAGAGCGTAGAAACCAGGCTGTAGGGCTACAGCTCAGTTTGATTTATACCCTTGTTTCTGTTTGCTGCTTACTTGACTTTTTCTCGCTTTTTTCTTAGAGCAACTGCTGTGTGAGTTCTTTGAGTTCTACTCCTCCTTTTCCTTCAGAACGCTGTCAATCAATATCAGAAAGGTATGTTTGATTATTCACATTCATTAAGTCCGATGTAACAAACGTGGCCCAATTATGATAATCAGCTTTACAGGGCTTTATATTAAGTTGATGTGCATTGTTAAGCACTTGGATTGATCAGGCGGCCACAAACATGACTTCAAATGAAGGATAATGTTGCTCCAGCAAATCAAATTAAAGGTGATCAAATATATCCTTGTTATGGTTCAGCTATTTAAGGTTTATGCCCACATTTTAACCACTATTCAGACATGTATTGTTGGCCATACACAACAGTTACAAAGGTAACCCTGCTAGTTCAGAACTAGTAACAATGTTGTCATACTTTCAACTGAGAACATGTCTGATTTGAATGCTGTCGGCTTCAAATAAAGTCAGCATCAGCACATAAATGGATAAATAAATATGTTCAAAGAGAAACAAAACATATTTTTGCCTTAATATGAATACTGTTTTAAACGTATCACTCGAGCATAATCTCTTTTCACACACAAATATTAAATAAACCAGGAAACAACCAGCTGTGATTGAGCTCATTTATGTTGTTGAGGAGATTCCCTCACAGTGTAGGAAGAATACATGTTAAAAAAAACATCATAAAGCAGCAATAATAATCAGACTGGTGTTCCTTCACCAAATGTAATGTTGTATTCATTTCCTTCCATCATGCACAGGTCACCTTTGTCTGAATGACAAGAAGCGGTCACTTACAAACAACTACAAAAACAGTGTGTTGTCTGATAATGGCTCTAGTCTCTCTTGTGGACTTAGTAACTAGGCAGGAGCTGCTGTTATTGTCACCCAAGCTGTGATTTCATACCACATATCAAAGATTTGTTTGATTTACTTCAAATACTGTCAAAGTTATTAAGTTTGTCCACCAGAGAGCAGAGTATTCTTTAAAATACCACATTAGAGGGATTGCGATCAAAGTGGTTTTAGTGTGTAACCAAGAAAAAGGGCATAATAATTATATGTTGTTTTAATAGTTTTAAGTTTAACTGCCTTGAAAATCCAGTACCAATAAAGCTCTACTTACTATAAGTTCCCGCCAACCCTAAGTCCATCTTGCAACTTGGATGACTTATAATTTAACTTCAAAATCCAATGTTGCATCACTGAAAAACCAGAACATAAATAAAAATCTTTTCAAAAATAACACACCCTGCTCAGCCTCCTTTCCACATGAGCTCACAGCCACAGAGCTGAACACCAGCAGAGAAATCTGTTGGTAATAAAGTCAGTGTTTGGTGCATGGCATCTTCCCACACACACAGATGACAGCTGTCCTTGTCAAAAATGATTGATGCCAGCCCCACAGGGCCCGGCGCCCTTGAGCTGCGATCCCAATTAGGAGCTCCATCAGGCTGAGTGTAAACAAACGCATATTCAATATATTTAGAGCCACATTTCAGTCTGTTGTTGACTGTGTAATACTTTTTACAGGCACTGAAAGAGCATCCACAATGGAACTTTTTATAAATAAAATGCGTAGGAATGATTAACATGAAAGGTACTATTTTGCCAACTTTAAAACCTACCTCCTAGAACATTTAATAATATCCTATGTATCATCTATTACTTTTACCCCTAGAATTGTATTTTGATAAAGTAGGTGTTAATGCTTGGGTGGCACATTATATAAGATGCAGGGCTACGCTTCGGCTGAGAATTTAATGGGTGCCTCTGGAAAAGAGACCCTGGAGCTTAATATATGAGACTAATATCAAGTTTGACACGATATAAGAAACCTGCAGGTACACTGCAGCCGTGACCCGTACCTATAGGCTTTCACCAGTGGAGCAACAGCCATAAATCTCCTTTACTGTGCTACAATTCTCCAATTCGCTCCCATTCTCTGACTGATAGCTTTATGTCGCCATCGTCTACCCCCCCCCCCCTCCACAGCTCCATCACTTTATCCTTCCAGCCCCTTTACTGTCACACTTTAAGCTGGGTATGGCATGCAAAGTACCATGGGAGGGTCTTGACTTTTCTCTGACCCACATGTTGAGGGTTCATTTGATGGCCATGACTACTAGATAGGGGATCAGATCATACATGTTTTCGTTGCTAACACATTTGATGTGTCTAGCAGGTTTCCAAAGCAGTTAGCTCATTCCCATTCTTCACAACTCAAGTCGAAATGTTTTCCAGAGCCAGGTCCATGCCTATCCCATGTGGTAACCTGCTGAGAGGCGTTCCAGTCAGCTATATGTTCCACAGATAAAGCAGCAAAGACCTATAAGCATGACCAATATATGGACCATAAAATACAGGACTGATGCTACTGCTCAAGAGTGTGTATTCATCTGCCGACCTTGTCCCATTCCTCCTCTCCAGGGCAAAGAGCAGAACAAGCCTGAGGTAGCCCCGCTGCACATCCAGAACCCGTTCGAAACCACTCTGAACGTCAGCAAAAACGTCAACGCCTCACAGCTAGACCGCTTTGTGGCTTTGTGTCAGGAGAGCTCATGGCTGATCCAGCAGAATAAAACTGCCCCGTCCAGAGGTGGTACTAAAGCAAAGGGTGCTATCACACCTTGGGGAGTATCTACCCTCCTTCTGCCCTCCCAGGTTGCAGGGATCAAAAGTCGCAAGAGACGGAAATTCGAGCCGGCGAGCGAGAGGATCAAGAGCTTGCTGGAATCCTTAAAGAATATCAACAAAGAACTAAATTAAACTCCTTGAGGTCGCAGCTCCATCGTTTTACTATCACTTTAGCTAATGCTTTGGTCAACTCCACCGTCTGGTGTACTTTTCTGGTGCCTCACTGAGAAGGAGAGGAGCAGCTTTAGCAGTTGATTTCATCTGCTGGACTGTGCTGGACAAATGTTCCAAACATTGACACTGGAGGGTGTCACTGAGGCTTGTATGTGCATATATTTGGGCCTGCAAAAAGGGAGTTATTACTATGTACTATACTGTGGACTTCCCTACTCTGTTGTAATTAAAGCAATTTATGTGTGAACTGATGCAAATCCTGCCAGACGTTCTTTGGAACAAAAACTACCCTAACATTTGAATATATCTCAAATAAAATAAAAATCATTATGGATATATTTTTTTTAATGAATATTACAATACGGACAGAATGATCAAGATTCTGTTGCAAGTTAATGGGTTTGTTTAATATGGCACTCAAAATCTGACAGAAGGCAGTTAAAAGAGTATGGCATGCATCAGAAATAAACCAGAATACACAAGTTCTATTAATTAAAGAGTTTATTGAAAATATGAAACGTAATGCCTTTCTTTATTATTCAAAGTGTCTGAAAGATGGATATATGGATATTTTTTCCATTTTTTTATGTTTCCAAGTCTTCCAGTAACTTGATAGAATAAATGAAACCACTATTTATGTCACACCTGTGTATTTCTCTGACATGCTCATATTGAATTTGAACCCCTGATGTGTAACGTACTAGAGCATGAAGAGGGCTTTGTGGCAAGTTACAGTAGCTTACAAAACACTGCTGGCTAAGCACACTTGGCATGCTTTTCACCTATAGCTACTTAGCTAAAACTAACAGTCCTAATAAATCAATGCTATACAAAATGAAGTTAATAATCCATACAACAGTATTATAAACTTGTGTGGCTAGCTAAATCGTTTTAATTGGCGAGCTACTGGAAACAAGCCTCTATGCTAACTAGCTGGTAATAGATATTATATCTCTTTGTTTCCATTAATTGCCAGTTGATTGAATTCTTAATTTAACCAAATAAGATTGAAGTAATGCAGTCCACTAATGCTATTAATAATTATGTTAGCTTCAGCTAGTTAAGTAGAGTTACTAGTTGAAGAGGCTGGTTGTCCTTAATTAGCTCAGCTTTGTTTCCATGTAAGCTAGCTAGTCATGAAGTCTGATGCTCTACTCTTAAGCATCGCTGATCAGAAGGAACATCTGGAATTATTCTTGGGGAAATACTTTTACGTTTTATGTTATCTATATTTATAAGTGGTAAAGAAAACTAATTGTTCTAATTGGAGATTTAAATAAAAGTATGTAAATCTGTTTTCACACTGCATTTTAATGTAGTTAATGTATTCACCGTAGACTTAACAGTCTACATTTTTACTGCCTTTTGTACAGTATAAAAAAACACTAAAGGGCTTCTTTTTTCTTTTCTTTTAACGTCTCATCTGGATTTTAATTTTATGAGCAGAAGATCTAAAACAGTGACATAATGGTGCTAGCTTGTGTTAAATATATATACAGAAGTAGACAGCTCATCAACTTGGCCATCCAGTTAATTGGAACCAAAGTCAGCCAACTTTGTGGCAAAGTCTGTTAAATCGATTGACCTCTCTGAAAACCCTCTGATTGACATGTCGTATAAAATATGTGAAATAAGACATACCACTTTAACTCTTAATTCAGTTTCCAACCTAGCCGCTAATCACAATGCCCTAAATGTGGTTAGAAGACCAAAGGGGTCATTCTTTTTTCCAAAGTTACATAAGCTGAATGGATGTATGTGTCTGTGAGTTAGAGGAAAGAGAAAAGACCTTAGGGTGCATGTGTTAAAAGTGCATCTGCAGGTTCACGTCCTATGAGTGTGCCTGAGTGTGTTTGTATGAGTGTTTAGGGCCCATGGGACAGTGTTTGAGGAGCAGGGAGTGTGCAGCCCACAGCTGGTTTTCCGCTCATTGCTTTGGGAGGTCAGGGGGGTGAGAGGACAGACTTTTAACTACCTACCCTCCTACCACCCGTCCTTCCTTTGACACAGATGGGAGAAAAGGACTGAGGCAGAAGAGGGCCCATCACCCCCTCACCTCGCACCCCCCTGGTTTTGAACTTCACTCACTGTCCCTGCCTCCTTTGTTCTAGCCTACATTTTTATTTTAAATTCTGTGGGCCTCCTGTCTTTCTATCATGATCATCTCTTTTCTCCCAGAGTGGCAGCGTTCTTTGAGGTTTGCTGAGATTGTTTATTTCCGTTAGTGAGTTTCTGACTGATGGGTTTGTTGTGGTCGAGCAGAGTGGATATGAAAGGTGTTGTTTAGAGATCCTTTGGGTTGAGAAATCTGGTAATTAGTATTCGATAAAATTGGACTGCTGGGTGCTGTTGGATTTCTCAAAGGAGCTAGAGTTCAGATTGTGGATCTTTTTATTTGTATGTGGTGGTTTAAAATGTGCTGTATACTACTGTTTGATTTGTATTTATAGACTGGGGGCACTCCCTCCATTTATTGAACAGTTTATGGGGTAATTACGAGGATAGATAGAAACTGTGGCCACTTGCCGAAAGGTTGCCACGGGGTTAATGATATTTCTTTCTAGCTTGTCTTAACCATTGCAGTGGCAAGGTTTTATGTGACCAAATCCCGGCGATAGAGCTCTTAAGACAGCAAAGGGACCAAGGTTGTGTTTAGCTAACCTGCCCAGCAGTGACCTTTCTTAGAGGTGTTTGCAGGCGGCACACTGTGGGATCTGATTTATTAGTAAAACTGGTGAAAAGTGTAAGATGGATTGGCCCTCTCTCAGGAAGTCCAGAGGTTCAGCGGTGCGATGACCGGAGTTTATGTTGCTGCCTTTTTTCTTGGCTCCTAATGCGCCTTCAGAGCCTGAAAGAATGTAAAAAGGTGGCCTGAGGGTTTGAAAAACATGGGAGGGATTTGAGGAAACTCGTTGAGGGAGGAAAAGAAAGGGAAAAACACCAAGAAATGAAAAAGATCTTGGCACGCATTTGAGATGAAATGCCCCCTAACATGTTCAAGTCCTGAGCAGCTTCTTTCACAGAGTGCTGTGAGCATTCAAGCAAAAGCCTCTGGAGAACAGGGTGTTTGATGTGAAGGCCTTATCTGTTCGAGCCTTTTTCAGAAGTTCTTTTTTTATCAAGCTTTCCAATCAATACGCCACCCCTTCCACTTACCTCCACCGACTGCACAAAGACCTTGGAGCAGTATGGGGAACCTAATCTCCAAAACACTTCCCCTTGCAGTTCCACGAATTGTCCTTTCAACATTGTGAGAGGTCATTACGCTGGTTTCCTTGGTTGAGGGACAAGCGTCCTGGAGGACCAAGCTTCCCCGCATACTCCAGGTTTTCCAACACCACAGTTGGCTGTGAATAAGACGTGCTGAAAGGGAGCAGGGAGCGCTGGAATGCACTTGTCCATGCAGAGTCCCCTAAAGGTTATCACTGTGTGTATCTGGCTTCAGAGTAACTACTGCATAACTGCAGGGGTGTGTACTGGCTGTGAAATGTGCTTATTGAAAGCTACATTCAAGTGACCCCAATTCAAATGTGGCAGCCTGTCTCCTTTTTCCATCTCCCTCTACAATGAAGCCATGAGGAAAACTATTGGCAACAGACTTGATAATGTTTTACACTGTGTTTTCGCTGTACGGGAATGCCTGGGACCAACAGTACCATTGTTTCAGTGTAGGACTGCTTAATTGGAGCCTGGCACAGAGTTACTGGCAGCCAAGGCCTCCGAGTGTCAGCGACCGACCATGGTGGTTTTACATTCTTTCTCTCACTGGACAGTAGAGAGGCTGCGTCCATTCAATACTGGCCAGAGCAGGCCCCAATTGAGACAGGGACTCTATGCTGTGATTGTTGATGAACCGTCACATGGATACGCCACACACAAGCACACATGGCTATTGTATCACTGCGATCAGGGCATGGATATGTATCTATAGAAACGCACCCACTCATCCACAGTGCACCAAGCTCTCCTGGGTTCCTGTACTCCGTGACTAGAGAATGAATGTGTGATGCCACATACACCGTATACATGTGACACCAAGTCCCCAGAGCTTAAGCTGCTACCATTACCACTACATATTCTGTTGAAGCTGCCTTGGTGCCATAAGAGGCTAAAACTAATATGATGTACAGTTTTCAGTTATTGTTGAGCGTTTAGTTCCTCCTTGTATTTAACATATTAGAGTAATGGTTTCATTTACAGGTCCGTAATATACTAATCATTTCCAAGATAATTTAGTAATTTGGTATATTACAGGGTGACAACTGTCTACTTTCCTTTTAGACATATTTCTGACTTTTGCATTAACAGCTGACTGGCTAGAGACTGACTATAAGACTCCAGACATAAAGTCTACGTTTTTGTTTTTCAAAGTTAAGATTAGATACTGTAGCTGCGTTTCCTTACCGCAACCTTTTTTTAAGACTTTTCCTCTGTTATACAGGACATTTTCCATTGAAAAATTCTAGCAGCAGAGGTGATGAAGTTAAACCTATTATAATGAAAATAGAAACATTTCACTGTGTACACTTCCATTCCAATGTACCCTAGGGACTCATGTAATGAATGTATGTATACAGGTATGCACAGAAGACTTTTCCTGTTTGATTATATAATAAGTTCCAAATAACATAGTTACTTGGGAAATATTCAGAGAATTGTCTGAATTAGTGACTCTTGTATTTGAACTCCAACAACTTATCAGAATTATGTTTTAATTGCTAAAGTCACTAAGTTCACACTGAATGTTGACACATTTTTTTTTTATTTGAACTGCCTTCATTGCAAAATATTTGGAAGCAAAGTTGTGAAAACGAAATGATATTGGATCTTTAAATGTCCAGTTGATGTAAGCCTCAGTTTGCCTAGCCCACTGTAGGATATGGACCCTGAACTGGGCATCATGCCAGTGTCCAGAATGTTTGGCCGTGTGTGTGGGCCCCTAAACGGCACTATAGAAAAGGCTATTGCAAGGACAGTAAGGCTGGAATTTGGGCTGAGGGTACAGTGTTGGGGCTGTAGAGATAATTGTGTTGGCCCTGTGATGGTGGGTTGATCACTAACATCCCCCCTCCCTCCCCACCTTCATGAGCCAGATTTCTCCTCCCTTTTCCATAAGAGCTTAATCTACAGTCTGCACCACAGCCAGTGAGGCCTTATCAGCTGTGTCAGAGCCTGCTTGTCAGCTCCAGCCTTGGCTCCTCGCACTGGACAGACCTGCCTGGGTAGATACGAACTAATGTGGACACGCATATGCACAGCCACAAGGCTAGTTCAAGTTCACACTCGGGTCTGAAAGGACTGCAGCAGTCTTTTAGATTCTGACGTTTTAAGGGATACACAATAAATAACAGTGAGTGATTGCTGAATAGGTTCCAAATATTGTTGGCTTGGGACTATTTAAAGCCAAGAAATGCCAATTCAGGGACCAATTTCATATGTCTTTGAGAAATAGTCAGATCCATCAAGGAGAGATGTTCCATTTCTACTAGTGGAGCAAAGTACTAAACAACTCT